CCCTCACGGAGGAGGACGGCAGCCAGGAGTTCTCCACCCGCAGCCGCTTCCTCTACTATCTCTTCAGCCTGGGCACGGAGCTGGGCAACGAGCTGTTCTACATTCTCTTCTTCCCCTTCTGCATCTGGAACTTGGACGCCTGGCTGGGCCGGAGGCTGATCATCATCTGGGTGTGGGTGATGTACCTGGGGCAGTGCACCAAGGATGTCATCCGCTGGCCGCGGCCTGCCTCCCCGCCCGTGGTGAAGCTGGAGGTCTTCTACAACTCCGAGTACAGCATGCCCTCCACCCACGCCATGTCGGGCACCGCCATCCCCCTGGCGCTCCTTCTGCTCAGCTACGGCCGCTGGCAGGTAATGCTCACCTCCTTGTCCGCCCGGTGTTTTTTAGCCCCAGGGTGCAAGGCTGTGACAGACTTGATTTCTTTTGGGGGGAGAGAGGGGCTGAGTTTGGGTAAAATGTGAAATTCGTGCCTTTTTTTGTCCCGTCCCCCACCCCCTTTTTTCCCCCCTATGATCCAAGCGAATGCTCAGGTAACAAGAGTTGTTCTAATAATTCCATCGTCGTAATGGAAGTTCTGTTGACTTTATGAACGATTAGCTCGGAACGCATTAAAAGTCTGCTTTAACAATCTGTATTTTGTTCTTGTGAGGTTTTTTCCAACTTCTCTTTTGTAGGGTGAATGCTTTGCACAAAGTTTGGATAGGCATCTGATGTTTTAACAGGCGTTTAGTTTTACTGATTGAGAATTTGGTAGAGAGCCAGGAACTAAAGGGCTTTTTGCTGATCCTTCTTTGCTTTGAGTCACTTTGCAGCTTCAGTCAGTTTGTTGCTTTTGCCTTTTCTTTAATGCTGTCTTGTAGCTTCATCACCCATAAACTGGAAATGATTATTTCTGGTTTGAGGAGTATGTATCTTTTCAGATGTTTCCACAACTATTGATGTGCTAAGAATTCGCAGGATCCAATAACCTCTGATCTTTTCAGCACCTTCATTCAGCAAAATCTTAAGATTTGTCTATTGCACTTTGGGTCAATAGATTAAGTTCTGGTTAATAAGTTAATAATTTGGGTTAATAGCTTGAGATCTGGTTTATGCAAGCTATGGCGTGTGCTTCAGCAGTTGCTGTTAGCAGTACGGATGACGGTAAGAACTGTAAGAACAGTAAGAAAGCAGAACGTGCATTCAGCTCTCTAAATCACTGCACCTACTTAAGTAGTAAATGAGGGAGAAGGCTCTCCCAGGCAACAGATCTTCAGTATAGGGTTTTGAGGGGTCTGTGTGTAATGTTCAAGAAGTTACGTAATAAGTCTACTCTTAAGTTGTTAATGTTTACAAATTCTTACTATAATACCTGCCTATTTTAAGTCAGATGTATGTCATCTTGGTAGAGAGAACTCCCTATTTAAGCTTTATGCAGGAGCTAAACTCTTGTCTTCTCAGTTACTGTTAACAATGACCAGTTGTCTGCTGTCACAGTGTGACACTTTGTGGCTTCATCTCAGCATATAGAATGGGTGTCTGAAAGGAAAGAGACAGTTGAAGGTTAGAGATTGTATTTGGCCTCTCTTTAACCAAAGTTTATGGTACCTACTTCTGCAAGGTGATACAGCATGCCCAAAAGAAAGCTATCAAGGATTCATATTCTTTGCTAGGAAAATGTGAAGTATTGCTCTGCTAGAATTGTGCAGGCATCAGCTAATGTCATGTTTTGTGGGTGTTTATGAAATAAATATTTGGGGTTCTGTCACTGAGATGCTTACTCTTATTTTTTAGGGTTTTTTTAAATGACTGCAATCTGAATATTTGATTATTACTTGTTAGATGTGTAGGGCTGATGTCAGTTGAAGAACGAACAGGATTTCTATTTCTTTGCATGTGGGAAACCTCATTTAGTAGTATCAGTCAATTAGCTTTGCACGGTCTGATGTCACGTGTACAAAGGAGAACCCGTCTTGATTGCTTTTAGAGAACCAGAAAACTGACAATGTGTGAAATGGTGTTTTTGCTAGTGAACCAAGTTTGATCTTTGGTTTGCCAGCCCTGCAACTGCAGTCTGTGAAGTACTATTCTAATTGACTAAACATATTTATAATGAATGCATATTAAGAAATCACAAACATTCAGTCTTGTAATTCATTTAGAACCATGCTTAAGCAATGGAGAAGCAAAGTGTTTGAGTACTAATTTTAATTCCCTTTTCCTATGAAATGGGTTTGAATAACAGACCTCTCTGAAATAAATTTCTACCATTTCAAAACGTTCACGTAAAAAACCCAAAACTTTTGATTTTTTAAATTATTTCCAAATCCTAATCAAAGGTTAAATTGTGGCATGTTGAGTATCTTTTGATTCACCTCTAAAGAGGGTTAAGCTTTCATCTAACACTTCTTATGTTCTCCATATTTTAGCAGTGTTGAAAGGGAGTAGAATCTATATGACAATTTTTTGTTATGCTATTCTGGAAATAGAGGATGTTAAAAAAGACTGACCTCTGAACTTCTTGGAAAGCTATTTATGATAAGGGAGCTTGTAATAACTCTGCTTTTTATTACATTATACATATTTATCAGTAGATACAGATTGTTAGATTTAAACTTGTTGGCAAATGTTGGGGTACAGTCATTCTGTATATTCAGTGTAAGCAAGCATTCCACAGACCCTGATCGTAATGAGACCACATCTTAGCATTGTTTGTTCAAAAAAATCATAGTGGAGGCAAGACTGAGTGTGAATTTAAATAGATACAGCTATAACTCTCTGCAGGAACTTTTATTCTGGACTATAGGTAACTTTTGAGTTTGTCACTTGGAAGTTTATACTAAACCAAAGAAAGCCACTCTTCCTCTAAAAGGCTGCTCCTGTGAGAAGGGAATCACTTTCCTGTATAGTTTATTTGGAGTTTGCTTTCATTGGGCTATGACTTCCTACTATTGTGTAATGGTTCTTTTCTATCAAAAAAAAAAAAAAGACAATCTGTGAGTCTCTCCCTCGAACAACATAGAGAACATAGCAAATCTGCACTTATTTTTCTAGGTATGGCCTAAATTGTCCATTTAAAAATAAAAATTTTGAATTCCAGTAGGCTTTCTTTTAACCTGTTGAATTAAGTTTGTGCGTTCCTAGTTTTCAATGCCTATCAGTAATCCTATTACAATTGGTTTCCTTTCCTGTAGCACTGAAAAGGATTTTTGACTATACATAGTAAAACTAAAATATTTGCTTATAAGCAAAATTGTTCAAGTAAATTATTTTCAGAGATTATGTATTTTAAAGATGGTTGTGGCAAATTTTCAGTGTTAGAGGCTTTGGAAATAGGGAATATTCAATGCAATGAACTTTGAGACAGAAACAGTATATGTTAAGATAATTTTCATAATAGCTAACTGTTCTGTCCATTGTGGAATATAATTTTTCAATTTCTCCTTATATTATGAGAGCTTGCCTGAAACTTTTTACTTCACTTGCATAATCTTTATATATTTATTTATTATTCGTAAATCTCATCTGGGTAAACCACTTATTTCAAAGACACTTCTGTAACCTTGAAATATAAAGCTCATGGCAAAGACTCATGAGAATTTAGAAGTGTTATAAATGTTGATATTTTTCATCTCTGAAGCTCCCATATCCTGAAAGAGGAGGACAAACACTTAAATGATAGTGAGGTTATAGATCTTAATATGATGTAGGAAAAAAGTATACTTTTATCACATTGGGGAAAAACCTACTTTCTTTGAAATATTGACAGTTTGAGCCGGCCTGGCTTATATAGTGTCCTGAACAGGGAGGAAGAGAGACTGTATACTGCTAATTATCTACAAAATCCCCAAAAGCCAGAGGCTGAGACTACTGGAAAAATTCTTTTTTTATATATTTTATTTGATTACTTTGAACTGCTGATTTCAAATAGATGTCAACACATTTTATTAGAAATGATGCTTGACTTAAGATGGTACCTGAATGTGTCATAACCTGCTGTTTTATTGGGGTGGGGGGAGGAATCAGTTAGGGAGACAGAAAATATGCTTTTTTCCCCAGAGCTCCTCCAGGATGGAGCCTGGCTCTAGCAGTAGTTGTCCTGATTAGGAAGTGATGGGTTCACACTCCTTCCTGAGCTCTGCATTAATGAGCTGAGTCAGGAACTGCTGACTCTCACTGTAGACCATTGAATGAACTTCATTAACTTGATATTCAGAAGGAGCCCAGAGCCTTGACTGATGAGTAGCTGGCCTCTGTAACTACATTAACCAATGTTGTTTGAATGGGCTTATCTTCTGAAGCAGTTTAGATCACTAAATATGACAGCATTGTCCTCCCTATGTACTTGTCTGCCGATGTTTCATAAGCAAATCCTGTCATCGGTGACTGTATTTCCACCCCACTGATGAGAATGGCGACCTTAATAAGCACTACTGCTAAACCTGCAGTAGAGTGCACCTGTTCTGTAGTGGTTTCTTTGGCTGACACACCTAAAAGTAATTTTTCAGTTTTCATTTACTTAGTAGTCTCCATAGTACCAATTGTGTAAGAATGTCACGTGGTACTGTGTCAAACGCCCTTCCAGAAATCTTTCGTCCGTACCATTACTTTTATCAACTAAAGCTAATGAATCTAATCAAATGAGACTGGTTTGACAGGATCTGTATTGGGATTTCAGAGAGATCTGCATTGTTCTGTGATTTTGACTGACCACTAGTAAATATTAGCTCTAGAATTGTCTGCCTGCCCTTTCATTTCAAAAGGCTAACTTTCAGTTCCCCACTGGGAATGAGGAATGATTGGTTATCGGGGTTGGATGAATAGTCTAATCACTACACTGCTATAGTGAGAATTTTAGAAAAAGTGGGCAAATCCTAGTTTTAAGTGTCTGTCCTTATTGAAAGGCTTGCATTATCAGTAAGATTGATGTAATGATAAAATTGGAAGCTACATACCGGAGGCCATCTCTTGGATATGAAGTCTGTGTGTAAGAGCAAGAACGGACTCCTTTCAGAAAGAGATGCCTCATTTGAGAAGCCCAGATGGATTTCGGCTGAAATACTAAAATGCTGGGAAGCAACTTAGGCAAAGAGATGCATGCTTGCCTGCTTGTTTTCTTATATATATTTCTTAAAATAAACAATCAAACAAAAACTCTTCTGAAATGAGAAGTGTAGCTGAAGGAGTGATCTGAGAGCCCAAAATTGCCCACACAATGAAGAGCTCTTGAGAGAGAGCAATGGGAATTTGGAGACTCAGCAGCACTGGCCTTGTCGGGTGTATTTAAGGTGTAAGATCTTCTTTTCTGGGTCATACCAATGCCTGTAGTTTCTTTGTAAAGGAAGCTGGAAAAAGTTGTGTGGCCTGTTTG